AATTATAGTAATTACCAGAAAGCGCTATAGCAACTGCATTCACGCCACCAAGAGGCTTTAGCGTATCCCGTGCCTTGGTCCCAAACAATTTCTCGAGATAATTTGGACCGTGACTTGCCAACAACGACTGCAGGAAACTAGCAGTCTCCTCTACCGGTGGTCTTTTTGCTAAAACAAGCAACAAAACGTTTTACCCGAACATTGCATGAATATACGTAACATTTGTTAACATTGATCCTGGTTCTTTCTTCAACTACATATACAACTCTATACAAATTATACAAATTTACATCTATATCTATATATCACAGTAATCATTTCCTATTCGTACAACTTTATAGCTAGGGAACAGAGAATCGATGTTAGAACTCGAAAGATAATAGGTTCGATCTAGTGATCATATAGTCTGCTAATAGATAGGTAGCCGGACAGTAGTTAGGGACGAATATAAATCAGACGTCTGATACACCCGAAGCTCGATACGTTTCTGCCACATGGAAACTTCCTCGTAACCTTGTTCCTATTTCATTGTTGTGTGAGACGAGTTCCCTGAATTAGTCTCCTCTGTTTAATAGAAGTTATAATCTTTTCTTTAACGGGAAATTAGCAACATTCTATCTGTTAACACTAAAAGAAAATGGAGAAAGAGAAAGAAAGAAGACAGAGAAATAAAATAATGTTTAAATAGGAAACAAAGAAATATGTGTAAATGAATACAAGATGAAAATGTTGTTACAGTATAGACGGTAATAGAATCAATTAAGGGACAGGAAATTTTACCAGCTGTGCATAAACGTGAATCTTCGTCGTATCCATCTTGACAGTCGGGAGCTCCGTCACAGAGATACTGAATCGAGATACATATACCCTCTCCTGGACACTTGAATGGCTCGTAGGGACGGCAAGCATCTCCTGTAACATTGAATTATCACTAAAATAATAATAATAAGAATAATGATTTTTTTTATTTTTATAACTATTTTATACCTGCTATCATAAAACTTTTATTTTGTAAAATATGTAATATACGTACATAAGATACACAAGTTGTATAGTATAATATATATGGAATTTATAGCATGTACGTAAGCGTCCATCAAATACAATAGTTCACAAAAGTATTGGGACAATTACCATAGAAAATGTTTACGTATATATTATATATTATAAAATATTTTGAAATTTCATTAGTACTGTAATGAGATACGACGATCACAATTATATTAGTAAAATTTTAATAAATCTAGAAATATATATAGAAAATACAAGATACGTAATATATTCATAAAATATGTTTACAAGTGTTCCAATACTTTTGTGAGAAACTGTACATGCCTGTTCCATGTCGCGTGCGATTCGTGTTGAATATCACATATACATACATATGATCATATACAAGAGCACGCGCGTATATGATTGCAGTGTGCGCGTGTGCATTAACTTTGTAAGTGGCAATGCCCAAATTAGAATACATAGTCACCAATAATTGGTGGTTGCCAGGGCGGCTGATATTGACCGAGCAATATAACATGTATTATTTAACCCTGCTACAATTTTCGAATCTTTACATCCAAACAGAAAGTCTTCTAACGTTCCAAGAGAAACGTTAGTGTAAAATTAAAATAATAAATTACGTATATTAGCTGTATATATTTTTGAAATATTCTTTACTGAAATTACAAAATTTTTTAACGATACAAAGAAACCATGCAAATGGGAAAATGATTGAAGGAACGTAGCAAAGTTAAAATTGATCTAATTCTTTTACGTTCTTCCTCTCATTTTCGTGCAAATTGCATTTTTCTAACGTTAAAAGATATGCCAAATTTAAACCAAATATGAAAAAATTCTTATTGGTATGCATGATTTCTAGCGTTAACATTTTTTTAGGATATTAGAATTCCTTTCTGTTTGCTGAAATATGAATAAGATTGAAATATGAAAATTTAAGGATCGCAGCAAAAATTGATAAAAAATCGCTTTATTGGAAAATAAGGGTACGTGCAAATGTGTATGTACATACTTTTCGCAGCCACTGTAAGTTGCAGAAACGACGTAATTCGAGTTCGCAACAAGTTGTTAACTACGAGGAACTTCACGCTGTTTATTGCTCAAAGGAATTTGCCATTGATAAAGTAACGCTTATTGCTGGCGTCGATTACCACGTTGCGTTGAATAAACCACGGACAGAGGCCGTGTCACGAAGATGAATCGTGATGCGCTTAATGTACCACGTGGATTCAAATTGCCACTTCAATGTTGTTATCCATCGACACAATGGACCGTCGTATCAAGATTAAAATGTACACGGTATGTATTGCAGAGTTTGGGTAAATGGTAGATATTACTTTACAAAGAAAATGGATCACTATCGATATCTATTTTATATGTACGTTCGTGAATCGTTCTAACTATTATACAAGAACGAAGAAATGGTTAGAATTCTGCTTATCCGTATTTCGTGTATACGAACAAGTTAATTTGTAGTTGCTATGGTTGAGAATATCTTGTAATGAACATACATATGCACTTATGTGTTTGTGTCGAAACTAGATTATGGAAAGAACAATTGAATATGATACAGAGGCAACTCAATGAAGCTCAACTTCGGTTTTTTTAAATATTAGATCTATTATAGGAACTACATAACGACAGATGAAAGGAACATCATAGGAACTGTTCTATAGTTTGATATGCTCGGATAAACGGAATTCTTCCAAAATCTTCTCTTTTTAATTTTTTAACATACATATCTCATTTTCACTTCTCGTTACGCGATACTATATGATCCGATTCGAGATATGACAGTTGCAACCGGTAACGAAAATTCTTTACGGTCGTGTTTGAAAACATGGATCCATAACACCTATCTTTCTATATACATAAATGTGTAAAACTAGTTATATAAAGCAAACAACACGTAAAATAAACTATACAGCTAGTTATCGACTACTACGAATTCTATGGACTAAACAAAGGTGTAACTCTAAGAAAATGTGTTGACTAAGAAAATCAAGGTTGCATATGTCCACGATTATTGGGAAACTTGAAAAACGGCCACGATTATTCGCTTACCTGTACGTTTGGTATTGAAGTGACCATAAAATCGACTTAAGTCGATCGCCATGATAGCACGAGGGAAAATAACGCAAACACTCAGGGCGAGGCTAAGCGCAGCCACGCTAGTGCAGAACCTCTGAACCATTCTCAGCAGACAGACGGTTAGACTATACTCTCAAGAGACGAACGTGTTTCACTTCGCGACCTTCCCTTTTTGTTATAACCCTGAGTACAGGAACACAGATGAACTACCCTTTATTAACAAGAGAACAAGTCAGACTTCTTCGCTTCTTTCTCCAGCTGTGAGATACCGTACGATATGCTGTAATCAAAGTAACGATCGTTGTCGAAACACTGACCCCTTCAAATGGAACAGATACACGTACGCAAAGAAGGATACTTTATTCCGCTTCACTCTTTCTTCCTCTCTTTTGACTTTTTCTAATTTTCACAGCCACCCACCGTCTCTTTTCGACACCGAGTGGCTGGCGCGTGACGCGGGGTGCACAAGCACTGTGAACACACCTGCGTATATACCATATACCATATATCTCATACCAACTACATATTATACCCCCTCACCCCGCTACCCTTAACAATCTCAAGCTAGGTAGTGGGGAGTACGCAGGAAGACGTTTGACCAATCACACAACAGGTCTCGCTAGCCGCGGCCAATCGAAATCAGCGAGATCGAATGTTCTACCCTGGAACACCTACGCGACCCTTTTCTACCACGTCGCATCGATTTCAACTCCCTTGTACCCGTACGTAACTTTTGTTTATCGTCGTTATAACGTTGCGTTTACGCCAGCAGAATAGCATGGCTACCACTACTGCCACCCTTGGGAACCGGGGTATATAAACGTTCATGGAATTTTTAGGAATATAATACCGTTTAATGGAATTAACACACAACCCATAACAACTCCTGGAAATTTCGTCGTCCATGAACCAATCTTCCTACCCTGATACCTACGTTTCTCCTTTACTTCACGAATCGCTTATGTGCGTAATAGTAGCAAACGTAGCTTCGAAATTTGCTAAGAGTTTCTATGTCGTGTTGTAGAATTAAAGATACATATATGAAAATTTAAGAAGGGATACGAAAAGAATTTAATACAGTTCTAATTATTATTTGTTTCGTATCTTGAATGGATTAAATAAATTTTACTTGTATTATTCATATAAATTATGTATAGATATAAAATTCTGGCGTATTTAAAGGACAAAGGCTTTCACAAAATTAAGATTGTAAGAACTAGTGAAACAGTAAATCACTGTTCAGCCTGCTATAGTGTAATATGTAATGTATCTGTATGATTATTATGCATATGTATGATGTATGATATATATATATATATATATCATACATATATATATATATATATATACAATATCAAACATGACTTGTTAAAGGGCAAATTATTATATACTTTTATTATTTAAAAGATTATATCAGATTATATGTAATAATTTATGTAATACAAATATGTAATACAAAGTATCTTCCAGTTATAAAGTGAAACACATTGTGCATAATGATTATATTTGCGAAGAAAAAAGTTATAAATTATGGTCGTAAAAGAAATTTGAAAAATAAAATATGGTTTATTGAGAATGGCTGTTTTAACGTGGTTCTTAACTGGAGCTACGTATCTCCCTCAGTAGAAGAGGTCAACTATAACGTAGCCTCCGTAGTCTACAAGTATTAAATCTTGATTATGAAAGATCTTTTTACTTCCAAGAAAATATCCTAAAATTGTATCAGATCTTTCACTGAAATATTTAAATAAAGTTAACCTTTTTGTTTACTATGTAAATTACAAATACATACATATATTACTTTTAAATAACTCGTATAACAATTTAGAGTTTCTCCACATAATAAATTAGTATTATTAATCGCTTTCTTTATTGTTTCATTTTTTTCATGTAACAATAATATTAGTTATATATCTGCTATTATTATGTTTGGGAATAAAGAAGGACCACAAATTGAAGGAAAGAATTAGTATTGTTTGAAATTGCAATATTTAAAAATCTATTGTTGATAATACCTATAATTCGCGCGGAAACTTCATACCGAACATAACCTGAAAAGATATTGATATACATATGTGATTCAAGTATACGTAATGTGTAAGCATGTATACGCAATAGATCTGATATACTTACAAGATGGGGTTAATTAAGTAATTACGGAGAAATGCGAATATTAATTACTATACCAATTGAATGGATAGAAACAGCAAGATATCGAGTAAATAGATGAAAATGTATTTTACTGAATTTTGAAGAAATTTATAGTATGGAGGACTTAAAATGTAAATTTTTCGATCTTATTAACAAGCAGGTAAATAAATTTGTATTAAAATTTTACGTTTAAATATCTTGTATTGCAATGTAATTGTAAATACAACTTTTCCTCTATTCGAGTTATGCTTTAGGTTATGTTGTACTACATTTGTATCTTTATAAACTTTCAAATGAAATACTTTGTTAACTTTTAAGAGAAAAACTGTTCTAGGGTAAACTGATACAGTGTATTTGTTTTTTCTATTGTTATTCAGAATACAACCAAAATTCCATTAATGGGTTTACATCCAGATCTACTTAATCCATCAGAATCTCAGAAATCAGATGATATACAATCAGAAGCTGACCAATCAACAGAAAGTGAACCTATCCCTGATCAAGACATATTAGAATCTATAGAAGAGATTTATTTTAATACAGACCATAATTTTGATCCTTGTAGACACGAATTGGAGAAGTTACCAAAGGTGTTGCAATCTAAAGAAATTGAAAAATGTTACAAGAAACTGAAACAGCAACATCAAGTTGTTTCTAAGAAAGTTCTACAACTTATATTACAAAAGCAGAATGCTTGTAACAAAGAGTTTGAAAAAATTTTACTGATACAAGAACAATTACAGGATGTGTTAGAAATTTGCAGAATGGGAAGAGCAGATTTAAAATTAGCTGAAAGGCAATTTACTACAGCTAGTTTAGGAATATTAGCAAATTATCAAAAAAGGCAGATCATAGAAGAATTATTGAATAATTTAAATACTATCAAGACATTGGTAAGCTCATTTGACTTATATTTATTTACTTGATGAAGCAATAATGGATTAATTATTATAATACTTTGTAGCAACGTACAGGAGATAGATTACAGGAGTTATTAAATGAAAAAAATTATCCCAGAGCAATCTCGTTACTTTTAGAATGTCAAAGTGCTGCACAGACATATAAACATTTCCATTGTATTGCTGCTTTAAATGGAAAATTACAGGATATTTTAGAACAAGCAGAGGAAGCCTTGGATGTTACACTATCAAAGATGTGCACGCAATTCGATGTAACAATATATACGTCTATTCAAGAAGCTTATACTCTATTAGGAAAAACTCAATCTGCGATGGATCAGTTGCATATGCATTTTACTGCTGCAATTCACAATACTGCTTTTGCAGCTGTTCATTCGTATGCGGGCGGAGATACAAAGAGACAATATAAACAACTTTGTCAATCAGTGCCCCGGGAAAGTTGCATTATTTGTCTAACAGAATTATGTAAATCATTGTGGACAATATTAAGCTCTTATTATTTGGTAGTAAATTGGCATAACACACAAGAAAATAAAGTTAAACTTAAAGCTGATGTAAAAGATTTAGAAGAGACTTTTAGCAAACAATATGTGAAGCATAAATTAGAAAACAGTATGATTCGTATATGGCACGACGTTGAAATGAAGATTTCGATATTTTTAATGAACGCTGATTTAACTTACATTAAATTTGAGCAATTTGTTCAAGTTTTAGGTATAGTTAACAGGTAAATGCTTAACAGTGGTTTTACGTATTAATTTACGTATACTGTATTAACAAAAAATAATTACAGATTAATGGAAATTGGGGAGGAGTTATGTGGTTTTAAGTCAGAAAATCTGCAAGAATCTATAAGGAAGCAATCATTGTCATATTTTTCTCATTATCATGCATCGAGACTAGATGAACTCAGGATATTTTTAGAAAACGATGGGTGGGAATTGTGCCCCGTGAAATCGAATTTTGTGGCAACTCAGTTACAGGAATTTAAGAGTTTAAAACCATCGCTAAACAGTTGTAAAGTATGGAACAATTTTGATAACTCTAATATTGGTGAAAATGATAATCCTATAAGTATAGAGTGGATTCAGAAATATTTAGAAGGGGGGTCATCGCCATTCTCTATAGGTCTAGATGATACCATGGACGAAGATATTTTGATAAGTAATGAAGTACGATATTTGATTTAGGAATATTTTATTGTCCTTATACTAATTGGCAATATAATATACAAAATAATCTGTATTAAACAGGATAATCCTCCAGAATATTTTTCGGATGAATCGGACGATGATATCCCTGATGAATTAAAACACGAATACGTTGATGATTCAGATCATGTTAAAACAAATAAAAAAAAGTGTAAACTAAAACAATCAGGGCCCATGGTTACAAACACAACACTAAGTATATTGCGCATTTGTGGAAAGTATTTGCAAATGTCTAGATTATTACGATCAATCGCAGTTACGGTTATACAAAGTATGATACAGTTTTACGAGTTATGTTTTTATACTGTACATTTATTCTTTACTTCAGATTTGGTAAGTCTTGTTTATTAGTTACTTTTCTATTAAGATATTAACTTAGTGCTAAGAAATAATATTCTTTCCCACAGCAAATAAATAGTGATTCTTTATATAGTCCAAAATTGAAACTATCTCTAGCAAGAATTAAGGAGAATTTAATCATTTGTGAAAATGATACGGAAGATAACATTAAATTAAATTCCGATAAAGTACGACAGCCACAGCTCTCTTCCATTGTAAATTTATCGCAACCGGAAAAGCTTCACGGTTTGACTGAACGTGTCGTAGGAGTGGAATCTCTAATATTTTTGGGTCGTCAATACGAAAGTTTGAAGCCATACTTGGAACATCTTATTGGTGCTAGCCCACAACGTGGTTTCCTTCACCAATTTTATATGCAAACAATAGCATCGAGCACGGATTTAAGGAAACCGGTATATATGGCGGTTGCATCTCGAGCATTTGATGTTTCAAATATTTTAAATTTAATGAATAAAGTTAATTGGGAGGTGACTGACGTTATGTCTCAACATAGTGGGTATATTGATGCATTACTTCAGGTATTTATTTTAAGCACAAATATAAATTTTAACTTCGCTTGCACTGGCACTTGCACTTAAGAAATTTTTTCTTTTGTAGGAAATATATATATTAAATGAAAGATTGAAAAACATCGGAAGTTGTCTTCCTTTAGCGGACGATGTATATAACGCTGTCTGGGAAAATGTGGCACATCTAATAACTCATACATTAGTAGAGGGGTATGTTACTTTTTTACTTACAATCTTTTTATCTTATTTACTTATATCTATTCTCTATTACAGATTTTCTAATGCTAAAAAATGTTCGAACGGTGGCAGAGCACTAATGCAACTCGATTTTACGCAATTGAAATCGAAGTTTGAGACATTGACTTCTTTAAGGCCAATGCCTCACAGAGAATATGTTGAATTATATATTAAAGCTTACTATCTTCCAGAAAATAGTTTGGAAGAATGGATAAGGGAACACAAGGTATTTAAGATTATATGTTATCTAACTATGATATTCTTATTTATTATTAACGTATTTTATTTATCTTGCAGGAATATTCTGTGAAACATTTAATTGGCATAGTTTCTTCAGCTTGTCAAAATAATAAAAAAACTCGTCAGCGTCTAATTGCATTCATAGAAGAACAACGGCCTAGTAGATAGCATAGGTCTATATATTATAATACGTCTCAAGATTATATCGAAATAGGAATTGCATAAAGGACGAATTTTTAGGAATAATTTGAAAAGAGGAAAATGAAAAGGATATATTTTCTTCGTGTACATATTCGGGAACTTTTACTATATCACTAAAGTAAGCAAGCTCATTTAAAAACTCTTTAATTTTTTCGACACTTTTGTTTACTCAGTGCACGGATTAAATCCATCGATATGGGCCCTTAAAAGGATGTTAGTTCGTAAAATTGAAAGTATGTGATAAAGTACGAAATTGTTAATTTTGATGTATGTCAATACAATGTAAGTAATATTGGCTAAAGGAATCTCATATTGAAATTTAGAGTTGCAATCAAATTCATAGAGTATTATTATTACAATTAACAATTACAAACACTTCACATTATGTGAATGATATATATACATATATATATATATATATATTAATAATTATATATATATATATATATATAGTTAATTATTCAGATCTATTACAGCATTGTCGAAAGTCTGAATAAAAAATATCTGCACTTTGAATCTCAAAGAAGGAATTTAATGTTATTGGATCTGTTGATAAAAAAATTTTGCTCGTCTCGAGCCTTTTCACTCAATCATTGTAAAGCAAGGTGTACATAATTTTATTTCATATTCATTTT